TGGCGTTTGGAACTATTTTGGTTTTCATGTGATGTATGACCCTGAAGGTAAGCGCGTCATGGACAAAAGTAAAACAGTATGTTGGATGTGCCACACAATGCTTGGTGGGAACTAGTGCGTTAGCGCAGTTAGCTCATTAACGTGTTGACGCCGTCCAGCCCCACACACGGGGCGATCCGCGGTAGCTCGTTAACGGAGATTTGCCGTGTTGTGGCGTTAACGTCTGAGTGAGTAGATCTGAGCAGATTTACAACATTAGGAAATTGCTGCGGTACTTTGTGCGAGACATATGATAAGAGAAACATTTAAATAAAAATAAAAAGTGCTAAGCAGATTGATATATACATGAATGCAGGTGATGATCAGTGCAAAAATGGAACAGGTACAGAGAACACAATACAGGGTCATGTGTTTGAGCAAGTGGTGGGAACAGTCTTATGGTTATTGTTCATGAGTCCAACAGCAGAGGGGAAGAGACTGTTCTTATGGCAGGCAGGAGTTGGACCCAAAATGCAGGCACTCAGGCACGAGGTTTAAACACAAAGAACTCAGCTTTATTTGCTGGCAGGAGAAAGTCATACAAAAGCAAACTAAACTAACCTGGAAACTCACAGTGAGACACAGGGAGCTCCACACAGCATGAGGGATGACGCGCCACTGACTCAGAGAAACACAGGGTTTAAATACACTGGGAAGTAACGAGGGGAATGAGACACAGAAGGAGGGCACAGCTGGGAGAAATCAGGACTGACGAGACAAGCAAAGCAGGACGCATTCACATAAGACACGGACCATCAAAGTAAAACGGAAGTATCACACAGAGACGCGAACTTGACACGGTGGAGACAGCAACTAAGAAACACAGAGACATAAACCATAAGGCAGAGGACTCTAAGAACCGAAAGACACAGAGGGAAACTCAAACATGCAGACACAGACTTACACAGAACAGAGGGGACACAGAGAAACATTTAGGGCAAGGGATCGAAACTAGAAACCATAGAATAACTCACACAAGTACAATAATACAAAAATCACAAAGAACTAAACATGCTGGGTCAGGAGACCCAGGACCCTGACAGCCTCAGGACATACATCCTCTGCTGGGCCTTCTTTATGACGGAGGGAATGGTGGGCTCCCACTTGAAGTCCTGGGTGATGATGGTACCCACAAAGCAGAATGTGTCCACAGTGGTGATGAGGGTGTCAGTCAGGATGATGAGGAGGAGTCGGGATGTTTGCTTCCTGAAGTCCACAATAATCTCCACTGTCTTCTCGGCATTCAGCACCAGGTTGTTGCGGCTGCACCAGGACACCCAAGTTCAGCCTCCATCCTGTAGGCAGACTCATCCCCGTCCGAGATGAGTCTGATAACTGTGGTGTCATCTGCAAACTTAATTATCTTGACAGACTGGTGGTTGGAGGTGCACTAGTCGGTGTACAGGGAGAAGAGCAGAGGAGAAAGAACACAGCTCTGAGGGGAGCCGGTGCTGATTGTCCGGGAATCCGGGACATTCTTCCCCAGCCTCACATGTTGCTTCCTGTCCGTCAGGAAGTCAGTGATCCACCGGCAGATGGGATCAGGCATATTCCCTTGGAGAAGGTCTGGTATGATGGTGTTGAAGGCAGAGCTGAAGTCCACAAACAGGATCCTGGCGTAGGTTCCCGGGGAGTCCAGATGCTGCAGGATGAAATGTAGAGCCATGTTGATAGCATCATCTGCAGACCTGTTTGCCCTCTGCAAACTGCAGAGGGTCCAGGAGGAGGGCCTTGAGTGTCTTGAGATAGGAGAGAACCAGGCGCTCAAAAGACTTTATGACCAGAGCCACAGGTCTGTAGTCATTTAGTCCAGTGATCCTTGGCTTCTTGGGGACAGGGACTATGGTGGAGGGCTTGAAGCAGGCAGGCACATAACATGCCTGCAGTGAGGATTTGAAAATGCCAGAAAACACTGGGGGCAGCTCGTTTGCACAGTGTCTGAGAGTGGCAGGAGACACACCGTCTGGGCCGGGAGCTTTACGAGCATTCAGGCTCTTAAACTGTTTCCTCACAGATACAGACAGACAACCTGTTGATGGCTAACCAACCGGACATAGTAGTGGTGGACAAGCAGAGGAAGACAGCCATAGTGATAGATGAACCACATCCAAGATCTCCGTCCAGAACAGCGCAGTCCTAGGAACAGCAGCGATACTGCGTAGGACTCTCAAGCTCCCAAGCCTCTGATGTGTGTGTGTGTGTGTGTGTGTGTGTGTGTGTGTGTGTGTGTGTGTGTGTGTGTGTGAACAAACAGCATGCTTTGGTTAGCATCATGGATGTTATTTCAGTACAGATATTATGTCAGTATGGCCTGTACAGATACCTGCTTGTCTGTCTGTATTGGCATACAGTGCTTCAACAGCGCCTAGCATAGGAGAAAAATTGGAACAGTCTGTGACCAGGGTGTGATGGGTCTGCACTGTTGTCTTGTCGTTTCCTGACTTCAAATTTCTACAAATCCTGAATCGAGAGCAAGTCGGCACTAATGATGTTTTCTACAAACCTATCTGGGCTTTTGAGAGTATTCAGGTCCATGTTGTTTTGACTGCATCACAGGACCAGTGCTCCAACTCCACATCTGTATTTAGATTCATCACAATACTTAATGAATCTGCATCCAGGATTACTATTCCATTTTGTTTTCTGTTCTGATTCTGGTTGTGATCCCTAGCCAGTGCATTGCTTGCAGATATATATATATGCTCACACGCTCACCTCGCAGTTGTCTCTGAGGTTAATGGTAGGGCAACCAGGGCCCTGGATTTTAACCTGAGAACCCTGTGGCATTCGCATCTGAGTTTGAGGAACCCACACAGTGTCGACCCTTGCAGATGGAGTTGCAGCCTCTGCCTGACTTAAAAGACCTGGTGTGAAGACAATATGAATCACCCGCTGTTTTGCACAGATGGTCCTCTCTATGTAGGAGAGGTTTGCTAACATGCACGACCAAGAACATTTCTCAGCCTGTCTCAGCAAAGCCACCCATGGCAGCAGGAACTGCAAGGTTATAGATGGCTTTCTAACTAATGCTGAACTGCCAGTTAACCCTTCAGATATTTTGGCCGACTAGGAGGCCAACTATTGCAGCAGACTTGGAAGACTTGACAGAAGAGATGTAAAGTAGCCTGTCCAGATGTACTAGGGGCTCAAGAATGGTCAGGTCCAGGGGGGCCTAGGATCTCCCTTCTTCTGTAAGGTGGCAACTGGGTTGTGGCAGTTGGCTCACCCCCTCTTCCACTCACTCAGAGCAGTTCATGTGCCAGGGCCCTTGCATGTGGTGGCAGACATGTTGAGAGGGGGCCTGAGTCCTCGAGAGTGGCGACATCCAGGGAGTTGACACACTGCCATCTGTTCCTCTCCCTGCAGAAAAACAATGTTCCACTCAGGTGGGGCAGAGTTCTCAGTTCCAAAGAGCCCCTTCAAGAGCAGAGGGACCCCCATTCTAACCCTGCATTCTGTCAAAGACTCTATCTGACTTCAACTTATCTCAGTTTATGGAGCTACAGTCACTTCCCACTGGTGGCTTAGACCAGGAGGTAGCTCACTGCCAGGATGCAGTATGCTCTGTCTGGGTTTTCACAGAGTATATCACATGCACTCAGACCATTAGGACAGGGGTGGCTGTAGCTCAGATGGCAGAGCATGTCATCCATTAATTGGAATGTCGGTGGTTTAATCCCTGACTGTTTTTTTGTCTGGTAAATACTAACCCCAAGTTGCGTCACAATGCATTAATCAGAGTATGAATGTTAGCTAGAAAGCACTTAAGCACAGAAAAAGTACTTGTCTGAATCGATGAGTGAACGTGTTATATGTAACTTTAAAATACTGAACCTGGTGGTCCTCAGCTTACAGATTACAAGGACACTGAATTAGCCGGAGCACTATCAGCCACTGCCTGCTTGTGGCACCCCCAGAAGTATGAAGTCATATGTATCCATCAAGAAACCATCATTTCTAACACTTTTAGTATTTTAGATTTAAATTATTTTATTTACATTACTTTTATCTGCTCAAATCATATTAATTATTGTCCAATATCATCCTCTTTAACAGGCAGTTGTCTCCAGAAGATTTGGCACAGGTTCCAGCTAACTCTACCTCCAACATTTTGAATCGTCTGATGGTCAGTTATGACCCAAGAATAAGACCTAACTTTCAAGGTAAAGTTCCAGTGTATACAACCACCATGCAGAATTACATTTGTCTTTTCATCAAGTCAAAACACATTTCCCAAAATACATGCAAAGTCTGCACTCATGACTTTTGTTTAGACAAACTTTGGTTTAAATATGTTGAAATGGTCATGACACTGACATTCCTGACATATAACACATGCATAATACATACCATAAATCTTTTCAACATTCTATTGCAGATGTGCATGGTGACATTGGTCAAATCCTATCAATCCTACCTGTTAATGATAGCTCCTCTATTGATTGTGGTACGATTGTATAAGCCTCTATTATAGTAAATTGGAATCATGCTTTTCCTTCCATATATGAAAAGTGTAGGGATTTCAAACAGTTTGTCAGTACAGACAGTGTCCCATTGTGTAATACCATATATTGATTATAAAATGATTATTAAATGGGATACCTTTAGCTAAAGGACCCCATTTTTCAAACAGGTATCATGAAAAGAAAGCTGAATGCAGACTGGACAGAATCTGGAAAGTATGTTAAATATATGATAAATAACACATACAAATCTATCGTTATAAATCTCTTTATGAAAGTTCAGGTAAATACTTTACATTTTTTGACTCTCTTATGTCTGATAACTACCATTAGTGTGATTTATGTCTTATGATATGCCATAAAATAATCATGAATTTGAGTGAATTTTGTTTGTATATATTCTTCATTTTTTATTCACTTATATCACACATTGAGATTAAAAACTATTTTTTGAAGAGAAACGTGAGCAAGAGGGCAGCAGAGGTTACAACAGATTATAGCACCTAACAAGATAACAAGTAAAAAAACAAACCCTAGCTTTCAAAGTACAGGGTGGGCCAT